ATCCATCTGAAGATGGTGAACTAAATCTTGCTGCCGTTCAAACCTTACTCCGCAAAGCTGGCAGTGCAAAGTCAACGAGAGGCGCTGCATTGGTGATTCCATCAGTTGATTCAGGTTGCCATGAATGATGATATTTTGCCATTGTTGGGCCACGGGCATCTCATCAATCGGCTTGGCCGCATGGAAGGCTGGGCATTGTCCCCTCGTGATGTGCTGCCTGACGGCAGAACGATCTGCGAAACAAGCCAAACAGTGTGAGCACACTGGATCTGCTCCTAATAGGTCCCTGTTCGGCAAAAAATCATGAATTTCCAGCTTGTGATCCGAAAATAAATGAGAGTGAATAGCCTGCAGATTGTCAAATTGCTGGAGGCAAACCTCGCATCGAAGAACCACATCTGGGCAAGCATCATGACCTGTCGAAGGGAGATTCACCAAAAGGAGGGCGATCTGTGTCCAGAATGGACATTGATGTTGACGCAAGAATGTCTTTTCGCAGAAAAAGCATGGGGATATAGATGCTTGGGATCTTCCAAGCTGTGCAGCTTTGGCAAAAACGTTGGCTGCAAGTCTGCCATGATGGGTTCGAACATGCATGTTCAGTTCTTGGGGTCTGCCATGATATACTCCGCATAGAATGCAATAGCTTCTCAAGTCAGCATGTGCCTGTGGCATTGCACGTAGGAGTGTCCATCGACTCTGTGCAACAGCCTGGATGAGTTGTGGTCCATATGGCTTGCTCATCAACAGTGAGAGATCCTGTGGAGTCAATCCAGTGTCGTCAGGGGCTCTCACCGGTCTCCATGTTGAGCTTGCTGCTTTCGTCATGGCCTGACAGCAGTTGCGTTCCAGGTGAATGGTAAACCTACGCCATGTGCTGAAGGTTTTGTGGCATGTGGTGCATATGGGAAGACCATTTTTGGCATGGGATGCAACAGTGACTTGGAAAGTTCGTAGTTGTGGGCAGCCATGAACGTGAGTCTGATGTCGCCGCAGGTTGGGCAATGAATCAAACTGTAATGAACACCAGGAGCAGGGAAAGTATGTTTTGGGCACCTCATCTACGTGAGAAGGCATGGTCTGTTCCGTCATGAGTTCCTGGGCCTGCCATGCAGTTTGGATGAGTGTCTCAACGCAATTCAGGTTGGTCCAGTCCACTCGATGCAAAATATCATGTGAAAGAATGTGCATGAGTCTCTGGCGATGGGTGTATCGCAGCTGGGCCACCGATGACAGCAATTGCGCAAAGGGATGCGGAAGGTCGTAATGTCGCAGAAATTGTCTATGTGTCATCTTGGTCAAAAAGCTGAAGTTGCCTACAACTTGCCGTAGTGTGCCCATGATGAATGTTGAAAGTTGTGTCAAGCCTGGGTGCGTGAGGTTGGAGGCTAACAACCCATAAACAAGAGTTGAGTATATGCAGGACCTCCAAAGTTGCAATCGTGTCTTCAGCGTGATGCCTCTGGCTCTGAGCCACTTCTGAAGGCGAAAAAAGGCTTGGCGTGCTGCTTTCATGCGATGTTGTAGTGTGAGCATCTCTGGCATGTTGTATGACATCTGAACTCCTAGATAGCAAGCAGTCTTTTGCACCGGCAATTTCGACTGGCGTCCATCTGCACGCGGGATGAAGAGAAAACATCCATGATCATCACGATGTAGAAGTCGGGCCTGTACTTTACGACAGTTTGTACCTCCAATGGAAATAAGCACCATGGATTTGCTTAAGGAAATGGTCAGCCCATGTCTTTCAATGACATCAAGCAAAATTCCAAATTTGCAGAGGATCTGTTCCAGTTCCCATTCTGAATAGAAAACATCGCCGCAATGAATGTCGTCTGCGAATAGGGTAACTGCTTTTTGAATCCATGTGGATGCTATTTCCTGGGACAGTGCTTCAAAGATTAAATCTGTAAAGGCCGTCCATAACACTGGGGCTGCTCGACATCCCTGTCTTATCCCACATCCTGTTGCAGTTTCAACAGAAATCTGATCATGTTGTGTGATGTATGCAGTTTCATTGTGCCATGACCCCAATATGGAAACCAAGTCCTGGTTGATTGGCATGCTTCGTAAGTGATCAAAAAGTGGCTGTCTAGGAATGGCATCAAAAGCACGATGTATGTCTAAGAAGAGCTGTATTCCTCCACAGGTTCGAAAGGTGGGGAGTTGAGCAGCCCTTTGATGGACATTGCGCTGTTGATTTCGAAGCAGCTGTCTGGTTTCCAAGCAATGTGCAGAGACACGTCGAATGGCATCATGTGCTGACCGAAACTCTACATATGCAAATTGTGGCCAACGGACAATGGTAGCATGGATCGCTCTTCGGAGTTGTCTAGTGATAATTCCCAGTACATTCTTGCCTAGTGGCTCCATCAATGCAATAGCTCGAAGGTTATCCAAACAACTGGGTACCTTGTTGGGTTTTGGGAGGAAAGCAACCCATGCATGTCGCCACTGCGCAGGGACAAAGATCTGATCCTGCGTCCACCAAACTGCCAGTTGGGTGTATAACATTTGAGCCAGGGAATGTGCAAACGGTTTCAACACTATGCCTGGAAGAAATTGGGGTGCCACTGATTTCACTGCTGGCGTTTTGGCGATCTCATGGGCCAGTTCATCCACATCAAATGGAATGCCTTGAAACGGTCTGGGTTCAAGGTATATTTTTGTAGGGCCTGCCCATTTTGTTCGAATGAATTCCTGAGTCATGTGACGTACCTCTTCAGCTGATGCAGGTGCACCTGTGTCACTGCGTAGTCTGATCTTCTTCCGTGGTTGTTTGGGGGTGTATCTTGAAATGATATTGTAAACTTTGAAACTGTCATTTTGTTGGGATGCCTGATCGACTTCATGAATGAGGTCTTGTAAATGTTGCTTTTTGAGAAGTTTAATGAACAAGCGATGTTTCCGTTTGAGCACAGTAAATTGTGTAAAGTGATACCAGGCTCTGTACAAGTTCTGCAATGTCGGTCTGGTGATGGCTAAAAGAATTCTTCGATGATACCATTTTGAATCAATCAAATCGGTGTTATGTGGTGTGGTTTTCTGGAGTGACATTTTTGGGAAAAATTGTTGGAAGCTGGGCATGAGTGCATTGTGTAAATCACTAATGTACAGCTGGTCAGTGTGTGAGGTACTGGTAAAGGCATCAAGTTGAGATTGTAGAGACTGTGTCATCTGTGTCCAGTTGTCCTGTTGCAGTCTCCAGGCTGTTCTGCATTGCAATCGCTGGCGGTACGTGCAGGTCAGGTGCCCCGCAGCTTTCGTAAAGATGTATGGGATCTTTTTGACTGTGCAAATCATGGGAAAATGCATGGCGCCCTTGCATGGTTGAAAGTCTGCATGGGGATGATATGTGACCTGTTTGGAGAAGCCATCACTATCAGCATGTCGCATGATAAAATAGTCTATTCTGGAGGCTTGGATTCCGTTACTGAATGTTGGTGGAGCTTGTGCATTCCAACTGTTCAATACTGTGAGATCGAACCTGCGCAGCAATGTCTGAAATTGATCCGCATCTGCATGTTGGCGGCCTTGTCGTCTGCAATTCATCCAGCAGAAGTCAGAAGTGCCAACGTGATGGCCATCTTGCATCAGTGAGCAGTTGAAATCTCCTGTGATCAGTAACGAATTCCTGTTGGGAATAGTGGTGAGACATTTGTGGAGTGTGGTCCAAAAGTAAAAACGATTTTGACGTTGCTTAACCTGTCTATTGTCTACGTATTGATAGCAACAGATTAAATCAAAGGATCTGGCCTTGAAGTGAAACCTAATGTGAAGTAGTCGACCAGGTATATGTTCCGTGATACCAATTTGGTCCTCTGGGCACACATGTGGACGAATCATGATTAAGATTCCATCACTGTGATCGTGCTGAGTTCCGCTGTGTATGCAGTTCCATTTTGAATTGCTCCACTCCGAGGTGAATGACCAACTACTCTCAGTGAGGACAATGACGTCTATGTCTTTTTGAAGTGCCCAATGTTGTATTTCTGCAAATTTGGTGTTGGCAAGGCCTCCAACATTGACATGCATGATGTTAATTCGATTGTGAGGTGAAACCCGTGTATGCTCCGTCCAAAAATGCCGAGCACGTGGTGGCTTCTGAGCTTGAGATCTGTGCAGTGAATCCCTCATCTGTTGAGGAAAGGCTTCAAAGGGTACATGTTGACCCCGATACCAGGCATATCCATCTTCTGCAGCGCGCTTGCAAGCTCTGTGATAACTTCGTTTGGCCACACTTTTCATGCCGACAGTCGTCAATGGGCAGCACTTGGGGCCGGAGCCCATTGGTGGCACCTTGTCTTGTATTTTCACTGGACAAAGTTGTCGCAACTGAGCTGCTCCAAAGCCAGTTTCCATCTCTCTCCAAGACCAAGAGAGATAACCCTCACCCCCGTCCTGCTGATGAAGGTCTTCATGTTGTAGGTTCACCTGAGTCATAGGTGTTGTATGTTCTTGTAACCTTTGCTGGATCAGACGCCCGGACTTGGGACCGGGTCTGCTCTGCTGAGGTGACCTAGTCGACATCCACTGTGTTTGTAGCTGTAAATTCTGTCCAAATCGATCAGCTGCTGAATGTTCACAAGGTCGTGACATTGTGCAGTCAATGGCAGTTCGTAGCCAGAATGCAGTACCACAAGGTCGATCAAGAGATTGGATCTGATGGGACGTTACTTCCAGTGGTTTCACAAGGGCTCCCAGAGCCGCACAAAAAAGAAAAACGCCAATCATGAATGATCAACACGGCCAGCAGAATGTAGATCAATGTGAAAGAACAGATGGCTGGAAACACTGAGCGAAGTCACTATGTGGGGCGCTAGGTTTCCTCAACCTTTGAGACACTGCTTGTGAGTGCAGAGGGGCTTGTGTGTGTGTGTGTTTTTTTTAACTACGCTCCTTTTCAAACTGCATCCAGAAAAGGTTCATGCCGGCCAGCATTGACCTTTGTCAATGGTTCCTTGTTGGAAGCTCCTGGCATTGCTAAGGCTACGTTACCTCTCAGACGAAGAAATGTAAATGGTGCCTTCATTTGGAACCATGTTGGAAAATATGCAAAAGGTAGCCATCTCAAGTTTCTGCATGGTCTTGATCGCGCTCTGCTGGTGGCAATGGCAGCAAAGCAAGGATCTGTGCCGTCTGGTCTTGCCCAAGGTCGCATGGATTGGTGTAGCGCAGCAAATGAATGCAATCCGATCTGATCAGCCAATAAAGTGTTGCACAACGACGCAACCAGTTTGGTAAATGCCAGACCGGTTCAGGTCTTTTCCAATCTTCTGTGAGCAACCATTCAGCAGGCCGCGTCTGGGAAGGCAGGGATGGAGCAATTCTGAGTGCAGAACGGTAATGTCCAGCCCGATCCGCACCCAAATGTGCTGTCAGTGCAATGATCTGGTATTCAATCATCTCTGTGCGCAGCGTGGCATCAATAAATTTGGGCACAAGACAAAAATCATCGATTTGCACTTTGCATTCACTTTGTTTGAGATTTCCATCTGCATCTGTGCATGTGCGGTCCAGGTGGACACAAAGACATACCGGGGATTCAACCAAAGCTGCAACCATTCCATTGGCCTGGCGCCAGAGATGAAACAAGGGTGTCAAACTGCACTGTGTCATGTCAGCATAAGTGGAGTCAAATTGCAGGTGCAGAGGGATGTGTTGGGCACTGCTGTCACAAACATGAATGCTACTGTTTTGTTCATACCGGCGTTCCCAGCTCATGTCAAAGGCTGAGCACCCCATCTGGAGCAGCCAGTGAGAAACGAACTCAGCAGAATCCTGTTGTGTCCACAGGCATGGTGCTACCTGTGGATCCAAAGTTCCCCAACAACGCAAAACCTGCAAAAACCATTCCTCAGTGCAAATGGTGGAACATTGTTCACTGGCACGTTCCAGGAAAGCTTGCAACAAGATGCGTTGCTCACCCCAAAAGTCAGATTGCCATGGAGTGCATGACAGGGAAGTCCAAAGCAATGCATAAACTGTGGCATTGGCAAAGCAAAGGTTCCCTGGGTTGTCCAATGTCAATCTGGAGAGCCGTTTCAGCAGGATCCTTGGATCACAGGGCCCCGGCTCCAGGATGGTGGTCAGGCCTCGGCTTTGACCCCCTTCTGCGGTTTGCCCTTGCTCTTGCCCTTGCCCTTGCCATGAGTCTGGCTCGGGAGTTGGAGGGTGCGCTGCAAATTGAACGCCAAAGGGCTCTGTTGGAGGCTGTGTTGCTTCAAATTGCATCCGACCAGGAGCCAAATGGCTGAGTGGGACATCTCCTGTAGCACTTGCCAGGGCTGGTCTGCTCTCAGGCTGATCTGCATCTTCCAGGGGCAGGCCGCTGACTGTGGTGTGCTCGGCAGGGCATGAAATCGCATCACAAGTGTGGGATCCTGAAGGGCCTCCAACATGTCCTTGCAAAGGAAGAGCAGCCGTTTCAGGGTGAGCGGCTGTTTCTGGCTCACCTGCAAGGCTTTCAGATCGTGATTCCACTCCAAGTAGGGGCACGTCTGATCTGGCAGCAGCACCTTGTTGTGAATGGCCGCCTTCATGATGTCGGAGTTCTCCTGTGCTTCCCCCAGCTGATTGATCCTGGTGAGCAGGGTCTGAAAGAGAACCATGGCCAGTCGCTGTCGCAGCGGTTGTGACGGCTGTGATGGTGTTTTCTCCCGGAGAGCTTTGGTCTCCAGCATCCATTCCTCGGTCGTTTGAACCAGCAAAGGCAGGCTGCCCTCGTTCTCTTTGTTGACGAAAAAGAAAATGTAAGTGTCCTCTTTCTTCATCAGCTGCATCTCTCGGTCGAGTTGAATAGCCAGCTTGGCCATGAGGGACATGGCGCTGGCTAGGTTGACCTTGCTCTTGGTCTCCATGTCTTGGTCGGGTGTCTCGAGATTTCCCTGTGGCTTGCTTCCTTTTCTTTGGCGCTTTGGTGGTCCATTCTGCGACAGTTTCAGGCTGGTGTCCAACATTGGAGTCAAATGTTGGAAGGCCGCTAGGATCTGTTCTCCAGCTTCCGCAAACGTTCCCATGTCCATGTCTGCCATGGGCCGCTTTGGCCAGCAAAATGGCAGCCTGCAAAATGCAGGGGCACTGTGCTCGGAAATGAGTCTGAGCCTCCACGTCTGTCTCCAGGTGTGGTGCAAACTCTGCAGTGAGAGTGAGATCTTTGAAAACCTGTTGGCATGCATGGCATCTGTGGCTGTCATTCGTGACTTGTATAAAATATGGCAGCAACTGTTGAATGTAAAACTTCACCAAAGGTGTGCCACATTTGTGCGCCTCATACAGATGGAGATGCAGGTCGGCGGCCCCAAGTTTGTCTCCACACAGTAGGCAGGTGCTCCTCAGCAACGTCAGCACATCTTCACTTGTCCAAAGTTGGGAGAGGTGCTGCTCTGTCAAAAGTCTTTCCAACATGAATCGAGAGGAGCGGTCAAGCTTCTGTGACATCATGGTGGCCAGCTCAACGTCAGTTGGTGCATGTGGAAACAGGATCACATCATTGAGTCGCAGGAACAACATTGATAATTGGCGCAGGGGCACACACACATGATAGGCACGTGCCTGTGTGACGCTTGGGTTGCATAGGCAACCAGTCTGCCCATACAGTAATGCGACAAAAATCTGCGTGAGACCCTGAGCTGCTGACCACAATTGTGAATGAGCAGAAATCAAGTGTCCTGACATGTCTGTGGCTCTTTGGAAACGGAGAGCACAGTGTTGGCACCGAAGGGTCAGCTGGAGTCTGTTGTGTGGATCACGCAAAACGTCTGCCAGCCGTCCAGAGCATAGTGCTTGTTTCCAAATGTCACGTACGGCCACAACCTCAGTCGGCAAGCTGGGGTCAAATTTGTCACACCTTCCTTGGTTTATGTGACTGCGCAATGACTCAACGCTATCGTACAAAGCTCCACAATGGATGCATGCCGGTTCTCCATCTACACAGTCCCTGGCGGGGTTGAAGCTGGAGCTGGTGAGCCGATGATCCTGCACAAGATGGGCATTGAGCAGCTCTGGTGTAGAGAAGGTCTCATTGCAAATGTCACAAGTTCTGATGGTGATGGCCGTCTCCTCATTGTTGGTCGCACAGCCGCCGCCGTTCACCAATAGGAGTGCTAATTGAGTCCACACTGTGCATTGATGACAGTTTCTGAAAACCTCACCGCAAAATGGGCATGGCGGCTCCTCACCGTATAAACTGGTGAGGAGCTTGCCCTTGCTCATGGTGTGTGGCCAGAACTCCGGGTGCATCGTCTGGATGTGCTGGTGAAGCTCTTGTGCCCTGCCAAAGAAATGGTCACAAATGCAGCAGCGTTTGGCCAAATAGTGGCAGGCTTCCTGTTCTTTCTTCATATGATGCCAGTTGCGAGAGCCAACTATGGTGAGCACTCGAGTGCCCCATGTCTGGCTTTTCACATTTTGCAGGTCTGAGTCAGTCAAAAGGGTCTGTCCACGCACTGGTGCCTCAAGCTTTGGCGCAAACATCGTCGAGGGCAATGCAGGGTCAGGTTGAAGTGCGCGGCGTGGATCAGCCCAGCACTCAACTGGACCAGCACAAAGAACCTGGCATCCACATTGTGCATGTATAATGAACTGTCTCCATGTGGTGAATGCTTGATAGCAATATCTACACTGGGGAAGGCCATTCAGGGAATATCTGGTGGGGTCTATATGCAAACATCGGTTCAAGCGCAGGCCATGATTTGTGGCGCAATGTCTTCTGAATTGGGATGTGTCATAGGTGACAAAATCGCAAAGTTGACATCGCAGTTCTGGTATTTCTGGCTGTGCCTCCAGTGCAGCAAGGGTCGAGGGCACTTCCGGACCTGTTTCATGCTGTGCAGTCTGAGCTGTCTGGGCCATGAGAAAAGTTTTAAGATGGTCCAGCTGCGTCCAATCAAGCATGTGAATGATATCATGTTCAGCAACTTGAGTGAGTCTGTGTGCAATGGACCTCTGCAAGCCGTCTGCAGTCTTCCACAACCATGCAACGGGCTGATCTACGTTCTGTAGGCAAAATGCCTGAAAATGATGGTGGCCTGTAAGGTATGCATGGTCTTTCAGGATCTGCCTAATGGTCGTGTACATGTGTTGCTGGATGCGCTGGAGACCCGTGCTGGTGAGTCCAATAGCACACAGGCCATAGCTGAGTACAGGATACACACAAGTGGACCACAATTTCAACTGTTGACGTGTTGTCAGGCCTCGTGAACCTATGAGCCAGCGACGCAGGCGGCTAAAGGCAATTTTGGAAAGCTGAATGCGATGCAGTGTGGTGCTGTCTTCAAATTTGGCATGGGACATGATGGCGCCAAGGTATTTGGCTTGCGTTGCAACTGGAAACCGAAAAGTCTGATGGCCTTCTGCACTGATTTTCAAGCAGTCAGTGCCCTGATGTCGGCATAGCAAGGAGTTGCGCAACTGTCGACAGGAGCTACCCGTGATGGAAAACAAAGCAACGCACTTGTGTGAGTTAATCTTCAATCCAAACTCTTCCATCAACTCAAAAGTGATGCACAAGTTGTGCAACAGTTGTTGCATGGTATCCATTGATGCAAAGGTGTCTCCCATCTGTCCATCGTCCGCATAAAAATTGACGCACTTGTGCACCCAATGAACGGTGGTCTTGCGTGCAAGTTCAACTAAAAACGCATGGATCTGGCAGCACCAGAGAAAAGGTGCCGCCTTACATCCTTGTCTCAGGCCCTTTCCTACCCTGATGGGTTCCTCAACTCCGTTGCAAAGCAGGCTGTAACTTGTTTCTTGATGCCACAAGGAAAGCAATTGAACGATTTTGGGGTTCACTCCAAGAGACGCAAGTTTTGCAAAAAGTTTGGCCCTATCAACCTGGTCAAAAGCCCTTTCAATGTCTAAGAAAATGCTAATGCCACCAGCAATTCTGTGACGGGGCAAGGCATGGCATCGGGTGAAGGGAGTTGACCTTTGGGATGCAACCAACGTCCTAATTGATCTGCAATGTTGGGCAACTCTGAGCAATGCGTCCTGGGTTGATCTAAATGGTAGATAGGCCCAGGATGGCAACTGGGCCAGGTCCACAAAGGCCTCATTCAGGGCCCTGGACGCAAGCAAACCTACCACGGCCTTACCGATAGGTTCTTGGAGTGCAATCGGCCGCAATGCACTCGGATGCACTGGCGGCTTCAATGGTTTTGGTAGCATTACCATCCATCCCATTTTGAACCAGGCAGGAATGTATGGCTGGGGAGTGGCCCGCCATTCCAATAGTTTAGCAAAAAGGGTAGGGGCAATTATGGGGGCTACTGATTTCCAAATGAACCCTGGAGAGCAAGGCCGTGCAACTGCCTTGCAGGCTGGTATTTCCTGCAATGCCCTCTCAAGCTGCTCAAGCGTGAATGGCAGGCCTAAGTCAGGGCAAGGGGATACAGGAAAGGTAGCAGGTCCATGCCATGTGTCACTGACAAAACGCTTCAGCAAAGCCGCTTCCTCAACCGGTGTGGCAATTTGGCCATGAGAGTTCCGCAATTGAACTCGTCGCCTGGGTTGTTTGGGGCTGTATCGGTTGATCAGTTGAAAAAGAGCATGGGTGTCATGTCTGATGGCTGCCTTATGGGCCTGCTCAAGAATTTCTGCAAATCTGAGTTTTCGTACCTGTTTGGCGTGGCGCTGTGAGGCACGTTTCAATTTTTGCAACCTGATGAGATAAGACCAACTCTGGAAAAGATTGGAGAGGGTACAATGTCTCATTGAGAGCAGGCGTTCACGAAGCTGCCATTTGCTCAAAACAATGGAAACTGTCTCATGGTTTGAAGAATGGATTGGCTGAATAGGTCGTGAAAAATGATCATGAAAACTGTCAATGGCTATCTCATGCAAATCCGAAATAAGTGTGCAGTCTGAGGGCAAGACTTGGGTCAAACGATCGTTCAGGCGCATTCCAGCATCTTGAGTGAAGGCAACCCACTCTGGCGTTTGAAGTTTATAGGCCCGATGTCCCAGCTGGCGCTGAGCTTTGCCAATGGTCTTGGCATGTGATACTGGAGCGGCTGGAAACCATTGCTTACGGATTGTGCTGATCAATGGCACGTGTCCAGAGGACTCACAGAAAGGTGCATTCCAGGCATACTTGGTGCTTTTGGCTAGGCCATCTGCATGTTGCATCCTGGTGATCAGGTAATCTATGCGGGAGCAAGAGGCACCCTGCACGAATGTGGGACCACAGGATTGGTCCCACGTGTTCAGAGCTGTCAGTCCATGCATCCTAAGGATGGACATGAATTGTCCTGCGTCTGCATGATAACTGCCTGGATACATCTGACCTTTCCAGCAAAACACTTGGGGTCCACTGTGTGATTGCAGTTGAGGCAGTGAGCAATTTAGGTCTCCTGCTAAGATCAGGGAATGCCTGGTTGCAAGGGTGCCAAGCAATCGATCCAACTGTGTCCAAAAGTGGTTGCGTTCTGTCTGTCTTTGCTTGTGGTGGGCCTGGGTGTGTTGGTAACACCCAATGATATCCAAAAATCTACAGCCTTGACGCACCTGGATGTGCAAGAGGCGTCCTGTTATCACTGGCAGCCAACGGATGTCATCCTGTGAGCAAAGCTGTTTGGAAATGATACACAGGATTCCCATCCCTTTATGCGTCACAGACCCACTGTGGATGTGGTACCATTGATTGTCGGTCCACTCATTCTCATAGGTCCAGCGGGTTTCTGGCAAAATGGCAATGCTGATGTTTTGGATTTTCATCCAGGCCTTCACCTCATCAAGTTTGGCAATGGACAGCCCTCCGGAGTTCCAGGTAAGCACACTAATCCTACGATGATCTTGGTTATTGCGATGGCACTTGATCAGCGTGGGATTGATCTGTGTGGGCTGGGTGGAAAAATCCGGGGTGACAGAATGTTGCAGGCTTTTGGGAAAATCATTTGGAACGTAGCAGCGGCCGCGGTACCAGGTAGTACCCAGGGCAAGTGCTCTTTTGCAGGCGCGCTTGTAACTACGTTTGACCACTTTGTTCTGAGCAGCATGCCAGGAAGGTGCATGTCTGCTTGCTTCAGGCCGCGGTACATGTTGCTTTGCGCCGCAACTGGCAATGAATGCTTCTTGCCATGTGGTTGACGCTTCAGCATCCTCCATGTTAAGGATGCAACCCTCACCCCTTACAAACCCTTGGGAGAAAAAATAAATCAGCAAGAACACACAGAGGCTGTGAAAAATTCCTGTGCTGATAAATCCAAAGCGGTTTGGTTTGTACCTGGACTTGGGACCAGGAGTGCCTGTGTCGGAAATGGGCACAAAGGGTGCACTCAAGCTGTGTATCGATTCAGTTGCCTGGAGGAATAGGTGCCGCTGTTTCAAATGCTCAAAAGCTCGCACAAAAATCACAAAGAAACCACTTGAAATCACTGCCGCAAGTACAATCTGCCAGATAAAAATTGATTGAATGAAAGCAGTGAGCCAGCTGTAAAAGAAATCCAATGTAAAAGAGGTCCAATGCGATCTGTTCAGTTCCTGTCCAATTGTCCAGGAGCTCTGGTCCAGGCTACAAGGGCCAAAACCGCAAAACGCAAGAACGCTTTTCCTGAATGGATTCTCTGCAGTCTGATGGCAGTGAAAAACTTCCGGTTCAAAAAGCTGCCAGATTATGCAGGATACAGTCGTGTCACAATGAATGGCCTGTTGCAGAAAATGTATATCCCTGTCAGCCGAGGCTCGAGCGTGAGGACTGTCAATGTAGCTGGGTTGCTGTTGTAGCTGCAAAATATCAAACGGTGGAAGGTTGCCACCACCAGTTGGGCCAGAGTATTGCAAGTTCCAGGAGCCCACCCTGAGCCAAATACGCAAAGAGTCCCAAAACCTGTGATGCTGATGAATCCAGAGAAACGTAGGATCGCTGCAAGCAATGGGGCCAGTGAAAAATATTTGAGGGGAGCCCACCCCGCCGTCAATGAATGTTCGCCACAAAATGAAATATGGAAAGACAAAAATCAGTGCCGTCAATGAATGTTCGCCACAAAATGAAATATGGAAAGACAAAAATCAGTGGAAGGTTGCCACTACCAGTCAGGCCAGAAAAATCTAAATGGCAGGAGCCCACCCTGATCCAGATCTGCAAAAATAAGTCTCGCTGTAGACTTGTCCAAGACCGTGAAAGATTGTCACAACCAGCCGGGCCTGTGAAGGATTGTTGAGGGGAGCCCACCCCACTGCCAGTAGAGGTCCACTGCAAATCAAAAAATTGTAACTCTCGAATCGGTGGAAGGTTGCCACCACCAGTTGGGCCAGAATGACTGTTAATAGGGGAGCCCACCCCAAACTGTGTCCAGAGATCAATCTGTCGTCGATGCGGAGGGACCACCCCACCAGTTGAATTTGCACAGTCAAAGTTGTTTGAAGTCACAACGCCGGTGAAGGAAGGTTCAATGGAGGTTGTATGATCCAGTATCCCAAGAGGATGATCCTGTTCGAAAAAGGATGTCAGCTCCAAGTCAGTCGGCCGCGATGTCACGTATCCAGTTCGAAGGAAAAACTCAGGCTCCTGTGGATGTAGTGCCGGATACCACGGTGGAAGGTTGCCACTACCAGTTGGGCCAGTGAAAACGTGTTGAGAGCCCTCCCCCTTGAAATCTGTACCAATAATGGAACAATCAGTCGGGGTGTCCAGCCCCAAATAATGCCTTGAGGATGCACACAAGCCAGTCAGTTGTAAACCGGGGCTTAATCGGCAGAGTGTGTGATCCTCAGGGCAGATTGTGAACCAAAATCCTATGCCCAGAAGGGCAGCAGCAGCTCGTAAAATCGTCGTTGTCTGAATCAAGGCACCAGGGGTGCTCCAGAAATGCACTGAAAACCCAAAATGAACCAGTCTCAAATGAAGAAAATCAAATATCAAATGTGCCAGGAGGATTGAAATGCGGCAGCAAGTGTTCCAACGTAAAAAGGCAATCAGGCTGAAGATATGGCAGCGGCAAGAACAAAACGGAATCGGCGCCCCGGGCAATGAATCTCTACGCTCCGTGGAGCAGCTTGAGTGCCACGCGGGGGTGGCACAGGGGCTTGTGTGTGTCTGTGTCTGTGTCTGTGTCTGTGTCTGTGTCTGTGTCTGTGTCTGTGTCTGTGTCTGTGTCTGTGTCTGTGTCTGTGTCTGTGTCTGTGTGTGTGTCTGTGTGTGTGTCTGTGTGTGTGTGTGTCTGTGTGTGTGTGTCTGTGTGTGTGTGTGTCTCTGTGTGTGTGTGTGTCACATCTGGATAGATGTAAAACTTCCGTCTTCTTTTTTCTTCCCTCTTCTCCCTTTTTAAATAATGCAGGGGGACACAGCATTTCACTGGGACTGTGTCCAACGAAGCTACCAGTGAAATGGGATAGCCAGCTTGGCCAGCTGGACGTACCTGCATTTTTTCGTTGCAATTTTGACTGACATGGCACGCGGCCAAGCCTAGAACCGCACAGCTGTATTTTCACTTCACGGTTGTCGCAATCTGGTACTTAATTCCTGTTATCAACATGGCGATCCTTATTTTTTGGATCTGCACGTTACAGGATTCAGTTCCTGCCGGATCATATAATGATCCATTCTTATCTAGTGCGTGCACAAACACACAGGCTAGCGGCTAGACAAGAACTAGATCATTGAAGTGATCCGATGGGAACTGAATCCCATAAACGTGCAATCAAACAAGATTATTAATATAAGGTAGATCTCCATGTAGCTGCATACAACCTTTAAGATGAAGTTCCAATACTCGAGATCGTGAACAGAAACTTGACCACAAAGTTCCAAATACATAAGGTCACGAACAGAACTTGATCCATAAAGTCCCGAAATAGATAAATAAGATCAAATACCAGATTGAAGCCAGCGTACAAATTCGAAGGAAATTGCTCAGGTGGTAGGCTTCTTGGCTTAGCCATCTGCCGTGACAGTAAAAACCAAATAAATAAATCGATGTTGTGGTTCTTGGGTTAGCCACATCCCATGTCCAGAAATAAATATATGGAAGTCTTCTAGAGGCCGCGAGGAAGGTTGTTTTAACAAAATATGGAAGAGCTCGTTTCCCACCGTCTATGGAAGAATAACTCCCAGTCGGCGTGCATGGCAGGATAAGCGGAGCATGAGTGGGTGACGGATGTCGGCATGGAGGATCTGGATGAGCATGAATCAGATTGCTTGGTGCACCACTCAGGTCGATAGGTCTCAAGAAGGTTCATCACGGTGTCGGAGGGATTCACCTGGAACGTGTCACCATCCGAGTCTTGGTAGCGGATCTCTAGCCGATCTTAATGGATGTTGTGCCCACAAACGAAGGGAAACAACCTGGCAAAAGCCCACAGTTCCAGTGGCGTTGGAGAGGAAGGTCGCCCGGATGGGGTTGTATTCTTGGTGATCCGGGTGACGAGGGTTAGCGAGATCTTGCTAATCCTGGAAGCCCACGAGGACAAGAATGTTCCGGTCAGGTGGTGGGGCTTCAACAGGGTGGCCCATTCGTGATGAGCCCTAGTTAGCCACATCCCATGTCCAGACGATATCACAATCTCAAACCACCGTCTTCGTTGGGCAGTGGATGGAATGAGATTCACTGCCCCCTGCATTAATTGACGAAGTCAAAAAGTAGAAGTTTGACACAGATATATATATAATATATATATAATATATATATATACATTCATTTATTTATATTCAATGTTATTTATATGTGTGTGTGTGTGCGTGTGTATGTTTATATTCCATGTTTACATTTATTATATAAATATATGTGTCTGTATATATATATATAATCACCCACACACACACTATTTATGATATATACATAGTACATATAATTATATACGCATATTATATATATATGTGTATATATATATATGTGTGTGTATGTATAAATCCTATCAATGTATATGAGTGTGATTTATATGTGTTCTATATGTGTGTGTGTGTGTACTTTATATATGAAGGTGGTGATTGAGATAGCCAAATGATGTTTCGGCAAGACTCAGACATCTGGAAGTGTTCCGAGACTATACTGTACTGGTGGTTTTCATGAGGTTCCAAAATGCTATATTTTCTATTCAAGTATATAATCTGGCAGTTGAGCTGCACCAAAGCACCAAAGGTCGCTGAGGGCAAGACTTTGAGGTTGGTCTTGATTCTTGTTGGCCTGCACAAGCACATCCACCACAAATGTCAGGCCAAAACGACAAGGCTCAAGTCAACAGAAAACCACTGGCACATCTGGAGGATAGGCCGCGATCGAGGACCTGGTCAACCCCAGCTGCAGTTTGGCCTGGTTCTTCTTTTCCTCTTTCTTTCCCTTTGAGCGCTTCATTGGCGCAGAGAGAACGGCAGCACATTGGCTGCGAAGTCTGGTGCAGGCGACTGTTGTCAAAAGATGTTCCACGCCTGCAAAGTATTGCCAGGTATACTGTGGTATACTGTAGAAAATGGAAGCTGACATGAGACAGGCCTCAATAGGCTTGGTGAAACTCCAACAAATGAGGCAAGGCATTGAAAACACATGACAAGTTCTGATGTTCAGAGTGCTTCTAGCGATGGTTTGCAACAGCCAGTACTGACTCAGTATTGGTCCTCATTTCCTTTGGTCTGTATGGCTGCAAGAGCGCATGTGAAAGAAGGATCAAGCGTAGTGTGGCAAACCCTATATATAATTAACCCACAATCGTGGATTGTTTTATACAACCCATTTATGGTAAATTTGGGGATGATGGGGATGGTTTAATTTCAGATTGGCCTTACCACATTGGTCTCACAGGGCAAGCGTCTCACGTCCAAACACTTGGGACATCAAATCCTCTGAGTTCTGGACACCAACAGCTTGGCAAAGCTCCAAACAATGCGCGACAGGTGTCGCGTGTCACACTCGCCGAGCCTGAGAGTGCAGAAACAAAGCCAGCTGCTCGAAGGAGCATCTCCAGCATCAAGGCACCGTGTTACCCTGAACAGACCATCAGTTCCCCAATCTTTCGCGTCCCCTCAGCCGATGACTGCGAAAGCACAGATTGAGACAATGCCTGCAGCCTCGGTAGCTGCCATGGCGCAACAGGGGGTTCAAGCATGAGGAACTTCGACCTACAAAACTGGCTGGTTTGAGATGTGTTTAACATTGAACCGTCTTATTTTGCTGTTCCATTCAAACGTGGTAAATGATGTTAGTAATTTGGCCGATCGCCATAGACGAGCATTATAGAATACTATAGGCACATGGGCTGGATAACTGCCGTACTTAACCATCCAATTTTCATGGCTCTCCCCCAATTCATGCGCTTTGGGATCATACCTGATCATACCTGTCTTGTCCTCGTCATCTGGGATTTTAACCGAACTTCCAAGATCTTGTAACTGGGTGCGTTGGCATGCGTTGGCCATGGGATGCCATGGGGTAAGGGGGAGAATCTGACACACCTACATCCTAATCACTCAGCAAAATTGTTTTCCGCGCAGGCGCATGATCTCGCATGATCTCGCCAACTGCCTGTGGCTTCGCCGCTTCGGCGGCCTAGCCGGCCTCGCCGGCCTAGCCGTAGACATGCCACCACTTGTGGGTGGGACACCCGGAGGCTCGGATCAAGTCGCCCAGCAGTGTCTTCACAAAAAGG